ATATATTTGACTACAAGAAGAAAATTCATCTTTCCCTTCAACCTCCTGGATCTCTGTTTTGGTAGATGAATTGGGAAGTTTTTTGGTTTCTTTCTTAGCAGGGGATGGTTGAAATATTTGAAAGGTAGAAAGAGATGAAGGAAGCTGAGGGCAATATTATTAGCCCTGAATCCACCACTCTCTAGAATAGTGGCTGCCTTTCCTGGACCACTTTTTCAGGAAAAGCCACAGCTATGCTTTACTTCATTACTGACTCTCTGCCTTCTCCTTGTCAGTTGCCTGGGCCCCATGAAGTTACCTTTTCCTCCTTTCCCCTTCCAGTTCTGGACCCTTGAACCATAATCAGATCAATTCTCCATTGTTCTTGAATGGAGTGTGTTAATTTATTCCCTTATAGTTCTGCTCATGAACTTTGTGAACCAAATCACTTTGTCTTGGTCACCACTCCCCTTTGTGTATTGTGCTCCTTGAAGACAGGGACCATCTCCAGCACAGTGTCTGACACATAGTGAGTGCTTAATTAATGCTTTTTCATTCACTCATTCATTAAAAAAAGTATAATACTTCAAAAATTCTATTTTTAAAAGTCAAGGATCAGCTGAAACAATCCTCTAAACTTTGTGGTCTCCCTGAACACTTAGCATAGTAGTCTGACTAGAGTAAGTGCTTTTTAAGTATTTGATTAATGAATACACAGATGGATGAAACCAAAACTTGGGAGTATTAAAAGGTCAGTCCCAAAATTTACACTCTCTTATTTTTGTGAGGAAGCATCTAGTCCTAAAGAATTAAGGGCTATCCATTTTTTCTTCCTATTTTGCAGAAATTAGCCCTAATAATCATGATCCTTAGTTGTTCCTGTGACTCCATTAGATGTTATTAATTTGTCCATCTCCACCATGACTGAATAGTGCTCTCTACATGAAGGGAAGCAAACTCTTGCCAGAAAAGAGCCCAGAAGCCTCCCAATGCAAAAGCTAAACATCATCAACAACCACCTTTCTCTAACAAGCCCAGCTGTGTGCGACTTTTCAATTCCAAACAAGCCTGCAGAGCTCAATGTTGCACTCCCAGGGATATGCTGGAATATTTAACTTGACAAGGTTTTTTGTATTAAACCTCCAGCCTGCAAAATTATTCAGTCCTTTGCATAAGGCCTGTTATTTATGCAAAGTGGAAATAACATTTATATTTCATGGTTTATCAAATTCAATTTGTATCACTCAGATCTATGCAAAGGCTTGCCTCTTGTAAGCGTGATATGCAATCATCGGAAGTTACCAACTGCTGAAGAACCTTTCCAGAATCCAGGCATGATGCAGCAGGGTCACTTAGCAACATGCAAACACAGACCACAACATTCGTGTTAAGATTAAATTGTGTTTTAAAGATAGGATTAGGCTCTAAAATAAACTCTCTCTTAGGTTTTCATTTTGGCCTCGCTTTTGGTTTTATGGTATGTGATACTTCATTGTTTTCACTGAACTGGGGCTGTTTCATTCTCCTACAGCATACACCAAAAAGGACATACAGGAGGTTACATGGTCATTGCTGCATGTTTTCTCCCAAGCAGAATTTGGATATTGTCAACCAAAATTTGAAAGGGCTGCCTATTCCAGAAAGATTAATCCAGGTGGGAAAATGTCATTGAAAAGGGCTTCTACTTTCATGGACTATAAAATAGCCCTCATTGAACTTCAGCATCTTCCTCTTAATTCTGGTCCTCACCCTGCTTCTCTGGCTGCTTACTGTAATTATTTTCCACTGTTCAGGGAATCTTGACCATCTGGGTTTCATTAACCAACTGACTTTTCCACTCCAGCTCTCTTCTCTTCCCCTATGGTCATTTCACATTATGGCAGGCTGCAACGTACCATAAAAAGGGGGAAGTCTCCCCCCCGCTTTCCATTTCCAGCCTTCTTCTTTTCTTTTTGGTAAACAAAGAAGCAAGATAGAAAATAAAAATTGTATGGTCTCCAGGTTCTTCCATAGCACTTTATAAAGAACTAACTTTCTGGGAAGTGAAATTCAGCTTAGCAGAAAGCTACACAACAATGCAAACCATCTTATGCTTTGGAAATTAAGAGAGCCTGAAAAAAAAGTTCAGGAACAGGGGCTACTTTTGATATGGCTCTTCTTAGAGTATTAATGTTATAATCTGCAAAATTAAGAGCACAGCAAATGACTTTGGACTGACAGATGTTACCAGGTGGGGATGACAAAATACTCTGTTAGACAGCTCTGTGGAGGTATGCTTGTAGCAGCAAAGGATAAAGCATGCCAGGGATTAGGCACAAAAATGGTTTACCACCTGTCATTTCTAAATACCACTCTGGATTCCAATTGGTGGTAAATCTCAACGCGATTTCTACATGGTGACTCATAAAATCAACATGAGGTTTGGCATGATTCTGGGTGGTTGGCAATATCTACTAAATGAAGACTTAAGATTCAAAAAGCAGGAAGTTTTGCACTCAAGATTAAGACATACTGGCAAAGCCTTGCTGAGAAGCTTGAAGAGCATCTGTCCAGGCTGCAGGGGGCATAAAAAAAAAATCTCCCATGGCAGTTTTAATGTGAGATAAATGTCTCTATCGAGCTAGCTGCGAGGCCTTATCATCCCATGTGAGAATGATCCAGACCTTTTGCTTCTTTACTCTCTTTATTTGGCTATTTAGGTAGGAAAGGTGACTTCCAATGAGTAGATTGTTTTATTACCTATATTCTATTCTAGATTGGTTATGGTAGCCTTGGAGGCTATTTGGAGCCACAAGTGGCTCATGTCAGAATGGTCTCTGAAATTCTAATGACTTCACTTAAAAGTGAGACCCACCTGGGGATACCAAAACAGGCATGTTGTTCTAATCTTTGTTGGAGAAAGAGGCTAGGAAGAACCAGGCTCTTTGCAGCCTGGTACAGATTAGTCAACAATTCAGTCTCTTTTCTTGTGCCACTTCTCCTCCTCTACTTGGTGGGGAATAGGCACCAGGAAAGGATTTCATAGGACTGGTTAGCCCCAGAGAAGACTCTCTTAGAATTCTGCAAGGCAGAATTATGGGACCTGTGATGAAGGTCCAATCATTCTTTAGTACAGCAGCATTCCCAGTGCCACAAACCACTCTCCTGTGGCCTATGCTATGGTCCTGATATCTGGCCCTTTCTCTTTCTGCAGTTGTAATGGTTATGGAAGCCTATGGCTGCTCCCTAAGTCCTTCTCTATATGAGTGGAAGGCAACTAGGAGAGGAAGCCATAAGTTAGGGAGATCCCACACAGATTGTATACTGTTTGGAAATTTTTCTTCCAAGACTATATTGAGTCATACTGTGGTCACAGTCTATCTAGAGATCTTCCTATTCCACTGCTACCCTGAGGGCTATTTTTTTTTGGCTAGGCAATGGGGTTAAGTGACTTGCCCAGGGTCACACAGCTAGTGAGTGTTATGTGTCTGAGGCTGGATTTGAACTCAGGTCCTCCTAAATCCAGGGCCGGTGCTCTATATACTGCGCCACCTAGCTGCCCCACCCGCTAGGGCTATTTTCAACCACAAGTGTATGTCAGGTAGCACCATATGGACTGGGTTAGAAAATCACAGGATTGGGGCATGATCTCAGAATGATCTCAGAATTAAAATTACACATAACTCTAAGGGCAATGTAAAGAAGTGTGTAGGCTATGAGGAGTTTACAGCAAGATAATAACAATAATTTCCAAGATAGAGGAAATTATTTAGAGTACATGCGGTCACAAAAAGCAGGTGAGCATTTATTAAGTACCAACTACATGTGAAGCACTGGGGATACAAACACAAAAATATCCTGGCCTTCAGGAAGCTTAAATTTTCAAGAATTAGAGAAAACCCTGTAATAGTACCCCAAAGTCAATAAAAGGAAGGAGAACAGGGTAGATACTCTGTAGAGGATAAATGCACAAACACAGGCAAGAATCAAACAGAATAGGAAGACATGGAGAAGTTGAAATCTGCATTCCTAAATAAGTGTTTTATGGTTCGCAAAACACTTTACTACATTGTTGACATCAAAACTAGCTTCTTCAATACCTATTTATTTCCTAGCCTGCCATGAAAGATCACAAAAAATATTCTAAACACCACCTGATCACCATAAAAGCTTCTATTTCCCATAACTGCAAGTTAGCTTCTGACCTGCCACTGCATACTAAGGTCCTCCAGGTCTTACCACCTGACTTGCCTCAATGCCTTTAAGAACCTTGAGCATTGTGATAGATTTCCTGATGCAACTTAATGAGCTCAGACAATTCACCTCACCACTACACCCTCAGTAATTCCAGGCTTTTCTCTCCACTCAGAGGCAGAGCTTTCTTTTATGTGTTGCCTTCCTTAATTATAGTCTGAGCTTCTAGAGGGCAAGAATTGTCTCATGTTATCCATTTGTATCACAAGGGTTTAGCACAGTGCTAGGCACATAGTAAGTGTTTAATTAATTAGCTAATTAATTCATTTATTTATTCATTTAATGTATATTTCAAAGTCTTAATTCATTACATTTGTATTTCTGTCACCAGTGAATATCTAGAATTATTCCTTCAAAAGCATATCTGTTGTGATTAATGAGAAGTGATGGAAATTTTACTTAAGGCAAATGTTAAGGAACCTTTTCTTTTTTTCTTCCTTTCTTTTTTTTTTTGCTGAGGCAACTGGGGTTAAGTGACTTGCCCAGAGTCACACAGCTAGTGAGTGTTATGTGTCTGAGGCTGGATTTGAACTCAGGGACTCCGGACTCCAGAGCCAGAGGAGTATCCACAGTATCCACTGCGCCATCTAGCTGCCCTGAACCTTTTCCATTAACTAAAAGGTTCTCTATTTTCTAACAAGGTAGCATCTGAAAACAAAACAAAATTTCACATGAGCCAAAGGATAACTTCACTTTTCAACTAAATAGCGGGACTGTCAGACTGAACACCTGGTAAAAGAATTATGGATCAGGATGCCTGATTAGCCTGGAGTCACACCTCTCTTTACCTGGGGATTTGCAGCCAAGATAGTGTAATTTCCATCATCATCTAGGGTGGAGGCTGTGGTGTGGAGAGAGCAGGTCCCATCAGGATCTTTTTGAATGCTGTAGTGATCGCTTCTAACAGAAATTTGCTTTCCATCTTTGAACCAATAGATCTGCAAAGGGAAATTATAAATGAACAGTAAGAGGATGGAAGAACTTTCTTTCCAACCACTTGTTTCTAGTTTGTGATGAGTAAAGGCCTTTATGTTATCTTTTGTTATGTACAAAACTTCCTGCACTTAAATGCTCATTGTTATGGTGGGGGGACGGGGGATGATTCTTGTTTCTTGAAGGCAATGCCAATGGAACAGAATATCTGCCAGGGTTTGACTGTAGGCCCAGTGATGGACTGTTGATCTTTTGTCTGAAGAGCAGTGCAGCTCAGTTCAGAGAACTTCATCATTAGATGTGGTTGGGCAGTACTTAATTTTTCAGGCATGGGAAATCTAGAGGACCATCTACTAAGGCATGGAAGGACAGCAATCTGTTACTAGAGGGTATAACCACCCCAAATGAAATAAAAGATACATGAAGAAATAAAGTATGTACAAAACATAGTTGTAAGCCATGTTACTAAAATATAGTGTCAATCTAAGAGAAGACGACATTGGAATAAATGAACTTCTCTTGGAAATTATTCCTTTTTTTAAACTGGGATTCTTAATTGAAATTGTGTCTAGTTTTTTCCTGTAGCATTAATCTTAGTTTTTTATCTGACCCTATTCTCTTTTACATTAAATGTCCCACTTTGCTTCATCACCGTGATTCACATCTTCCTGGGATCTCCTTGTTTTTGGTCACTTGCCCTACGCCCTCAAAAAAAAAAAAAAACCACTCACCTCTCCTCCATCATATACAGATATAAAAAGATAAATATTTACTCACAGTCAGTTTACTCTCCCTCACTGAATTCTTCTTTGGGGCCTTCCTATATGCTTATCTAGTTTATATTAAGCTAATAAAGGGACCACACTGTGTCTGTTTCATTTTCTTCTTCACATGTAACATAACTTTTAAGACATATGAGGTTTGTTTTTGACCTTTTATGAAATCTTGGACCTAAGTAATCATCAACAAGAAAGTCATTCAAATAGGAAAAAAGATGAAAGCTACATTAACTATGGGCAGCTAGGTAGCTCCATAGTGCATAGAGTACTCTGCTTGGAGTCAGCAAGACTCATCTTCCTCAGTTCAAATCCTGCCTTAAACACTGACTAGCTATGTGACCCTGGGCAAGTCACTGAACCCTGTTTGCCTCAGTTTCTTCATCTGTCAAATGAGCTGGAGAAGGAAATGGCAAATCACTCCAGTATCTTTACCAAGAAAACCTCAAATGGGGTCATGAAGCATCAGATATGACTAAAAAATGACTGACCAACAACAAAACCAGGAATATCATTATCTGCAATGTTAAATTTGTAAAAATACTCTGTCTGCTTCTATTTCCACTTATGATATTATATTTTTTCCAATTCTGACAGAATTCTGATTTCTTTTACATAACTGAAGTCAGATACATATGTATGTGTATGTATATGTGCATATATATATGTATATGTAGATATGTGTGTGTGACAGTTGGCATGGTATAGTGAGTAGAAAGCTGCCCTTGGGGCTAGGAAAACCTGGGTTCAGGTTCTGCCTCTTACACACACTGGCTAGGTTACTCTGGGTCAGTCATTTAACTTCCTAGTGGTGTCAAAATCAAATAGAAATGGATCCCTGCAGGCTGCATGTTGACCTAGAAAACCATATAGCAACTGTCTATGTTGTATTTTTATTTATATTGTTAAAAATTTCCCCATTACATTTTAATCTGGTTCTGGCCTGTATTAGACAGTTTTGCTGAGTTGAGTGTGACCCCTCTGATCTAAGCAATTCTCTAAAACTTTCCATTGCAGAGAAGGTGCCAATCTGTATTGATAGAGGGTGTTTCCTCATCTCGAAGTTTCCTATACAAAATGAAAATCAGAGTTTCAGTCCTTATAATTATACATACCTTTTCCAATGCTTCTTTTCATTTTTCTTATCAATTCTTAGGGAGAATTAATATTCCATTATGTTGTGTATCAAAATTTATTTAGCTAATGGTACATGTGTTCTAATTTTTTTTTTTTTGCTATTATGGATAAAGCTTATCTGAATACTTTTTGTAGCTTTTCCTCTTGTGATAACATTGTAAGGTATAGTATTAGTTGTAGGATCATGGGTCCAGGAGTATGACTAGGAATATGAATAGTTTTGCATCTTTTACCATATTGCCTCATCAAAAATTCTCCCTTTCTCTCCTCAAGCTCTCTTGTATTAATTGTATCCATATATATGTACCTGCCCCATTAGAATGTAAGTTACTTGAGGGCAGGAAATGATTTCAATTTTGTTTTTGTATCCCCAGTACTTGGCCCAGTGCTTGACAGATCTGACAGACAGGTGCTTGCTGACTGATCTTCAGCCTCTCCCTACATACTAACTCTTCTGTTGCCTGAAAATGACATATGAAAGGCTGCCTTTATCTTTCAAAATAAAACAAAAAAACTAGTTGTTTGCATATTGTCTCTGCCATTAGACTGTGTGCTCTGTGAAGGCAGGGTCTATCTTTTGCCTTCCTTTGTATCCCTAGCAATTAGCACAGTGCCTGGAACATAGTAGGTGCTTACTAAATGTTTATCAACTGACAGTGTGGTACAGAAATCATAAAATCTAATGTGATCTCAGGTTATTAAGAAAGTCTTAGCTGCTGAGAATAAGGAAGTACTAGTGCCGATATTCTCTGCTCTGGTCAGACCACAGCTACAGTATTGGATTCAGTTCTGGGCACCACATTTTTTGGAAGGACACTGTTCACTGAAAACTATCCCCAAGGCAATCAGTTGTTGAAAGTCCTCGAGATCATGACACGCAGTTCAGTTAAAGAAATTGGAGATGTTTAGCCTAGAGAAGAAAAGATTCAGTTGGAGGGCGGGGTAATAGCTATCTTTAAGTTTTTGAAGGCCTGTCATAGAGGGAGAAGGATTTGAGTTTTTCTCTTTGGTGTCAGAGGGCAGGACTAATTGCTGGGAATTATAAAAGGGCAATTTAGTTTTGATTTAACAAAAAGATTCCTGACAATTACGATTATCCCAAAATAGAATGGACTGCCTCAGGAGGTAACAGGTTTCCCTTAATAATAATATACAATATATAATATATAATATATAATAATAATAATTCCCTTAAATAATAATAAAATAAAACAATAATTATCATCATCAGTCAAATAGTATATATTAAGTATCTTTCGTCTGGCACTCTGCTAGACCAAAACCCTACAGCAAACAAAAAACAAACCCAACTACTGCCTGCCTTCAAAATGGTTATACTTTATTATAGGAAGACAGTATATACATTTAAGTATTTAAAAATATAAAAGAAGGGGCACAGTAGATAGGAGTGTTGAATTTGGAGCCAGAAAGTCCTGAGTTCACATCCTGATTCAGGCGCTTACTCGTTATATGACTGGCCAAATCATTTAACTTCTTGGGAAGCAATTGTTGTGAAGATGCAACCTGCCAACTGTTCCCACAGGTACTATAGCCACTGAAGACTCAGCTACTGAAGATTCAGAAAGGCAAGTTCTTGCCACCCAAGTCTTTGACACTCTCAAATGGTTCAGTATCAGAAAATGATATTTAAACAGTGGAAATGGTACATGTGCTTTGCTACTACATACATCCTAATCTGGCTGTACTTGGGTGTGTTTGACATCTTTGGTCTAGATGACATCTGAGGCCTCTTCCACCTCTAAATCTAGGATTCTGTGACCTGCTTGCAAATGTGGCCTTCATAACTTGTGAAAACTAAATGCATTAGCTCCTTTGTGGGATTTTCCCCCCTGACTATGAGCCACATGCTTCCTGTATTCCCCAAGGCACCTCAAACATTCCTTGAAAGAAAGTAATTATTGCACATATGATCACGGTTAGATCTAGGTCCTTCCTCATTCCCTATCACTGTGGGAGAATGGAAAAAGACCTGAGCTCAATTTCACAACAGTTTCAAAAGATGAGAAATCCACTGGTCTTCTAAAAAAAAGAGTTAAGAAATGAATTTTAGGATGTCTGGGTTTATTTCTAGCTGTTTCAGTGATAAAGAGCAGGTCCCTTGAGATGTCAGTATGCTTATGCCCTACGAGGTGCTCATCATATCCCCAGTGCCTCATGGTAGCATCACATCTATGTCACAGACCTCATTTTTCAGCCCCAGTACTAAAAATGTGGTTGTTCCTCATTCAGATCTCTGGCAAACCTCTCCGAGTACTTATGATAGGCCAAGAGCATATTTGAATCTGCAAACTAAGGACTTAGGGGGATGAATTATATATTTTCTAAAATAAATTACAAACGTAAGTTTGAACTCTGATATTCTACAAATTTTCTGAGGTTATTTGACATCTGCTTTGTTTACATTAGTTATCTAATTATTTTAATATATATTTCTCAAAATGCACCTCCCTTGTTTTTTCATGAAACTGGAGGGATCATGAGGGTAGAACACTGGCAGACAGTTGAATAGGTTGGAGAATTTTGCTGAAATGCTTTTTTCCACTTTGTTTTTAAGGGATAGACTCCTGGTGAAAGGTGGAAGTGGTGGTGGATATGTTTGTAAATGAAGGTGATGTAAAAACAAACATTAATTTTTAAACATGCACTTTTGGTAAATGATCTGAAGACAGAAGATTCTGATAACGAGAGAAATATTAGTTGATTATTATTATTTTTTTGATGAGAGGTCATGTGGATACAAACAGTACCCTAGGGGTTAAGAAGAATATTAAAGACTGCTTTTCCAGCACTTTGTGAGGCCCCTCCTGAGCTTGAGAGCATCCTAAAGTCCTTCTCCCCTTATCTTGAAATACCATAAAGCTTCTCCTTAACCTGTACCAAAAGAATTGCTTTTGTCTCCTTTATCCTGTGTTCTCCCCATGTCTAATCTTTAACCTGTATTCCCTTGCCCTGTCCTTAAATCTTTAAACCATAAAGAATTCCCTTTTGCATCCCTCATCCTATATCATAAAATCCGTTCTTTTCCTGTCCTCAATCTTTAACCTCCATAAAAAAACCTAAAATTACATTATTGTTCTGAAACCTCTATTTAAGCATAACTCCCCCAAATATTGGGGTCTCTTTCTTGCTAACAAGACCCATGTTACTTTTTCGTGTAAATAGAAGCTCCCAAGGCTACAGAGAACATCTAAATGAATTCTTTCATACCCGAACTGCTTAATCTGACCTCAACAAGAGGGATGATAAATGTGTGTGTATGTGTGTGTGTGTGTGTGTCTCTCTCTCTCTCTCTCTCTCTCTCTCTATATATATATATATATTCCACCATTCCACAACTTAATCTTAAAGAGTTGTCTAGGGACATTGAGAAGCTAAGTGACTTGCCCAGATTCATACAACTGGTATATGTTAGGAAGGTACTTGAATCCCAGCACTGATGCAGGCTCATTCTGCACCATTCAATATTTCTCATATACTGTATTAAAAAGAACATCACCATCACTTCACCTTTGATCAACAGGGGAAGGTAGTACCATAATGTTAATATTAGGATAATTTAAATTATTTTTCTTGACCTAGTTTTTTTAATGAATGAAAAAGAGAGAAGGGGTTAATAATCATAAATAATAACACACACATCTGCCTTAAACACAGGTGTGCTGGTAAATGTTTAACAACGGGGAGGGATATATCTGAATACCCTTTTAAGTTTAATTTGTATTGTTAACATTTTCTCATTATTTTCTTTAGCCTAACTAACAACAGATCAACAAATCAAGCCTTGATTTGTTCCATTCATGGTGGAATGGCCAAGGTGTGAATGCTCATCCTAGAAATTTAACAGTGGGCTTCCCTGTACTGTTATCAGTGAGCTCCAGGAGACTACTGTTGAGATGCCCAAAGGGAAAGGAAGAATATTATTGTATCAATTATTATTCTCTCCTGAAAGGAGGTAATGACACATTCTAAAACTTCCAGACCTTCACTTAACCTTCCACAAGCCTTGAACATTTAACGATAAAAGATGGAGTAGAGGTTGTGTGGTTACCTCTGTTTAGGTTCTTGTAACACTAGATTGAGTTTTACTTTATTTTTTTTTCTCATTCCCTGAAAAGCTAGTGTTAAAGACTGATTGTTACAGGAATCTTTGAGTGCTAATATACAGAGAAATGAAAGACCTTTAAGAGTTTTATGAAAGAGTTAGATAAATGATTGTATCTCCAACTAATTAAATTCTCCAGAGACCAAACGGTATACCCATAGGGGGTAGTGAGTATTTGGTGATGACAGTATTTTATTCTCTTTTATTCACTTATCATTTAAAAAATCACTTTCATAACATAATGAAGTAAGGTGAGTGAGAACACAGAGGATAGGAAAATTCAGCTCGTCAGACGGGTTTTTTAACCATTTTTGTGTCATAGACCCCTTTGAGTGAAGCCTACGGACCCCTTCTCAGGATAATAGTTTTTTTTGTTTTGTTTGTGTTTTTGTTTTTTGGGTGAGGCAACTGGGGTTAAGTGACTTGTCCAGGGTCACATTGTTAGTGAGTGTTATGTGTCTGAGGCTTGATTTGAACTCAGGTTCTCCTGACTCCAGGGCTGGTGCTCTATCCACTGTGCCACCTAGCTGCCCCAGGATAATGTTTTTAAATGCACAAAATAAAGTACACTGGGGCAGGTAGGTGGCACAGTGGATAGAGCACCAGCCCTGGAGTCAGGAGAACCTGAGTTCAAATTCAGCCTCAGACCAAACACTTGACACTTACTTGCTGTGTGACCCTGGGCAAGTCACTTAACCCCAATTGCCTTAAAAAAAAAACCCCAAAAACAAAAAACAAAAAATAAAATACACAGAATTACATAGGAAACCAATTACGTTGAAAATTAAAAAAAAAAAAAAAAAGCTCATAGACCCAAGTTAAGAAGCATAGCATTCGCAGCACTATCGTAATTAAAAATTTCCCAACAAATTATTTTTTCTAAAGGAGTAAAAGGCTACATTTCTATCTTTGAATGTATAAATTCTCAAAATGTAATTTTATTCATGCCCATTTTTCAGGACCAGTTAACTGCAAATTCACATTATACCTAATTCTGCTTACATTAGGCTTTTTCTCTTATGCAATCAGGAGAAATGAAAGAAAATTTTAAAAGGGAAGAGTTTGAGAAATGAAAACATTTTCTTAGGAATCTCCAGAATACACAGGGTGTCCTGCATCTTCTTTGCCCTTTCTCCACCCCCATCATGTACTACCTGTTGGAAAGGAAAGTCTTAATTCCTTGCAGTTAAGAAAACATTGTTCTTAGAAAACTATTATTCCAGTTCACCTTTGGCTTTGGATTCCCAGCCACTCTGCATGTGAATGTCACTGGCATGCCCTCAAAGATCTTGTAATGTTTCAGCTTCATCTCAAAGTATGGTGCCATTCCATTCTCCACCAGCCCATCTCCTTGTTGCGATTCATCACCTGAGTCATCTAGGGAAGAACGCTCCAGCCTGTACTCTATTTCACTGATGAGTCTTTGCTCACAGCTGGAGACTTTGTACTCCTGTAGTAAGCAAAGAAAGGTCATGTTAGCATCCAACAGTCTCTTCCCATGTGGCACAATGTATCCCACAAGCTCTATCATCCTACTCCATAAGGTATTTAAAAGATATTGGGCTCCTTTACATGTGAAAAAAATGATGTTACATAGATGGAAGACATAATCTGGGCCCAAGTAAAGCTCCTTATAAAACAAAGAACATCTGGAAATGTGTATACATGATATTTCAAATTGTCTTCAAGTCCTATCATCCAAAAAAAATCTATGAGTATTGGTTTTTTTTCCCTTCTCTCAGAAATTAAAAAAACAAAAAACAAAACAAAAAGAACAACAGAACAACAACAACAAAAAATCAAGGCCGTCTATTTTTGAACAGTTCATAAAAATAAAATTCAACATACCACTGATTTCTTTCCTTAGAGTGAAAGCAGATTTAGGTTTGTGTGTCTCTCCAGAAGAGCAATAATACATTTAGTCAACAGCTGTAAATCTACATAGAACTGTTACCACAATGATTAATAAGAAAGTGGTACCATGTCCTTGTCTGTCACTCATGGCAATTCCTGGCCTTCCTGCCCCTCCTTTAACCTTTTCCTCCACATTGTCTCTGTCATGAACTGTTCTCCACCCTCTTAAAAAAAGGCTAAAAAGCCAACCAAATTTTAGATTTAAAAGTGAACTAATTAAAATTAAATAGAAAACACATGTTGGCACCTCGCTGACTGTTAAACTAGGTCTTCTCATTTTCTAATTGTGCAGTATAACATTCATAAGGTGATCAATTTAAAAATATTCCTCCAGTTATTAGACCATGAGTTTAACTTCTGGTCTCTTATCTTAAATGGGTTATGTTACAGGAGGTAGGTCCCACATAGTGGAACAAGAATTTTCCTGAGACTTACTACTGCCTTTGAGCAGCTTACATACTTTGGGGCGGGGGACTGTCATGTCCTTTTGTTTTTCTTATAGACGTAATAGTTTTATGAGATATTTGTACTCTTTTGGGAGTTACTCAGCCTTGCTTGTTTACTCATGCAAAAAAACAACTCACCAGCATTCAAGAAAGGAGGACAAAAAGAGAGAATAAATTTCTTAAAACAAACATTTGGCCAGCTTCTTTGTCTATGTCCCATCGAATTTCATCAGAAAATTATTACCCTTTTACAAAAAAGGTAGAACAGATTTAAAAGAAGGCAGTATTGGGTACCAAGCATCAGCCGATGACAGAAGGATAGAATTACATTAGAATTTCTAATTAAATGACAGCAAGTCTGGGGTTGCAGTAATGTTGTTCATCTAAAATAATATTAAAATATAAACTGGTAACGTCATTTAGGATTAACTTGAGGCAGTGAAAGACAGCTATCTGCATAGAAGAGAAGGGGTAGGAAAAAGAACAACAACAAAGACCAGAAGAATAAAAGGTAGAAGAAAAAGAAGAAAGGTGAAAATGTTAACCTTTTGACCATCCTGAGAATTCACTATAGAAGAAGCATGAAGAGACTCAATTTCCTGTAATGGCAGAAAAAAATAAAGGTGAAGACCAGTGGTATAAGTGAGTAGTACAACAACACAATTTCTGGAGGTTTACTTTAAATTGAATTGATGGGTTTAATATTTAACACAAGAGGGGAAAAACCTTTAAATTTTTAACATCATCGCTAATGTCTAAAAAGGACATGAAGAATATTTAGTTTCCTAGGCCTCCTGAAGAATAGTTTACTTGGTTCTTTAAACTTGTGTTAAAAGACATTCTTCTGGAAAGCCCAGATAGCAGAAAATAAGATTTAAAAGATAATATAGCAATTTCAATGGGTTCAAGAAGTGTTTTCCTCAACGAGAAAAGTTTAAAACAGTACTTTCTCAAGTAGAACTCCCCAATTCTTATCTTTAAAAAAACAATAAATTTATGCATTTTACATATATTTCCCCAATTTTTATTAAGGAAGTTGTGGTTCCTTACTTAATGAGAAATTTTCATTAGACTAATCTCCTGGAGGACAGGGAAATTTTTTGTGTGTTTTTTTTTTTTCCCCTTTTGGGTTATCCCCAGTGTCCAGCATAGTGCCTGGCACACAGGTAGCTTTTAGTAAATGTTTGTTGACTGAAACATAATCACTAAAAGGTCTCTGGCCTATAGGTTTCACAGATAGGAATTCTTCCCCTCTCAGGGAAAAATACTGAGTGAAAGGAGAGAATAAATAGAAAGATACTTGAAATGAGAAAAAATGGAATGGTGAGAAAGGAGGGAGGAAAGGAAAAGCATGTGATGATCTCCACTCACTATTAGAGGAATGTCATGGTTTCAATACTTTGTAAGTCTTCCCCAGTCCTCAAAGAACTGATCCAAAGAGTCAAACATTAATGATTTTTCTATTTTCTCAGAAAGCCAAAAACAACATAGCACCTGTGTAGCAGGCTCCTCTTCAGGTTCATGGATATTAAAGACAGTGGCACTGTCAGCACCTAGCAGTCGCCGAGCCATTCTTTCCTCATAGGTTAATCTCTAAAGAGGGGCAGCCAAGATGGAGAAAAGAAGATGAGATTAGAAATTATGCTGCTTCATGAAAATAACAGGAACAAAACAGGCATCTTTCTACAACTTCCCCCCTGCTACCTTCATCCACAAGAGGTTCTGGATTTCTCTCTTGTGCCTCAGTTGTCCTTCCCTTTGCCTTCCTGCTGCTCCTGAAGATGTAACCCAATGCTGAGTGATAAGGTCATTAATTCTGAGAGCCACCCGGTGGGACACAACAAATTGAAGGTGAATAAGAGTAAATGAGGCAGAAACTCGCATGGAAAACACATGGCAGGAATTGGGGGGGAGGGTTCATGGTTATAATGCTGAAAGCAAATGCAGATATTCACATGGCAACAGGTCTTCATTAAAATTTATTTCTCTCTGTTTTCCATGTGACCTCTTAACACTTCTGGGAGGCCCTGTAGAAGGGAGCATTTAGACTAGTTGAGAGTGGTGGTGACTTTACTTTTTTACTTTCACATATGAAAGAATTTCAAAAGATCCCTATACTTTCTGGTATTTGAGGTGTGACATATATACAAATGGAATAATCATACAGACTCTTTGATGTGAACAGACAAGTTTAGACAGGACTTTCAAAAGACATTTGCCAGGGTGTCATCTGTCAACTCATTTTTCAACTTGGAGAGTGGATGGTTGATCACTGGGCAAAGAAAAAGAGTCATATTTTTCAGTTTGGTAAAGTGGAAAGATTACAAATTGGAGGTAGTGGATGTTGGGTTTAAAACCCACATCTTATGCTTACTGCCTGTGTGACTTTAGGCAAATCATTTAACCTTTGCACATTTTAGTTTCTTAATGTGTAAAACAAGAAGGTTGGAGGAGAGGAAATCTGAGGTTCTTTCTAACTCTTCATCTACGATCCTCTATAAACAAACATTTCAAAAATACATCTCCTGACTATTACTGTATGATACTTGCCACATTATCACTGCCACTGAGCTCTTCCAACACTGCATGTTGGAAAGGGCTTATTATGGAAACAAATCATTCTGATGGTCAACTTCAAAGGTCACCTTCATGAGTTTTACACTGTTCAGGCAGAAATAAGCCCTTACTCATCCTTACCCAAATTCCTACTAAGTCTGAAGGTTCAATCCATTTAAACTTAAAAATTCCTGAATATGGACCCAAAATTTATTGGAAGCCCTATGGTTAAGAAAACATGATGAGAAAACTTACAAAACTAGGACTTTCTTGTGATGTTTCCAGTATTGGTTGGTGCTGGTCTCAGTTATAACCAGAAAATGAAGCCAGAAACATGCCAAATTAAAAACAGCCCCAAAGCTTATATGAGTTCCAACTTCAGATAATGTGTGTTTGTGTTGTTTGTATTTGTATGTATATGAACATAAAGGAGAAGGTAAGGAAGGGCTAGCAGGGGCAGTGAAGGGTGTTCAGCATGGAGGGTGTCAGTGTTCAAATGAATTCTCATCTCTAGAAAAAAAGTTGGAATAAATTAATTGCCATGTCTTGCATAGTAAGTCTTGAACACCACACAAAGCTACCTCTCTAAATAGCCACACCACTTCTATTTAAAGTATGTCATTATTAGTTCACGGTAAGACCACCAAAACCAATCTGAAATCTACTCATTAAGAAATAGGCTTTGAGGGGCAGCTAGGTGGTGCAGTGGATAGAGCACTGGCCCTGAAGTCAGGAGGACCTGACTTCAAATCCGGCCTCAGACCAAACACTTGACACTTACTAGCTGTGTGACCCTGGGCAAGTCATTTAACCCCAATTGCCTTAAAAAAAAATAGGCTTTGAGACTAAACCAGGTATATTTTAATTTTGTGTCGTGTGTCTGTGGGTCACTGAGACAACCAGTGGGCTTGGAGTCAGGAATACTTAAGTTCAGGACCTGATTCAAACACACCAGCTGTGTGACCCTAGGTAGGTCACTTAACCTCTTCAACATCAGTTTTCTCATCTGCTAAATAGGGATAATAATACCCACACCAGAAGGTAGTTATGAGGCTCAAAGGAGATAATATATGTAAAGTACTTTGCAAAAAAACCTTAAAATTCTAAATAAATGTTAGCTATTATTATTACTGTGCCCCATGGAGATATAGTTAATTCTTTGTATAAAGAAGCAAAAAAAAAAAAAAAGTGAGAGAATAATATGTGATATTAGGGAAATTTTTTTCTTGAGAATATCTCCTTCCATATAAGGAAACCCTGATTCATTTATTTTAAGCTAACAAATGTGAATATTTCAGGGTACCTTATGAATGCCATTCACTGCTAAACTGGGATGCCTGTGGACTTGCTCCAACCAAGAGACATTCCATATGGAATGTTTAAAAAAATTGGAAAGGTGCCTTTACCTAGCTTGAAGAAGTTGACATTAAGTATTTGTTTTAGTATTTCAAGAACTTTTAGTTGACAGAGCCAGAGAGTGTTTCCAGATCATGTACATTTACACATGCAAGCACTTATTGCAAGAAGTCAGTATTTTCTTTTTGTGAAAATCTTCTGCAGGTAGAAGAATTATGGGCAGATTTTCATTTGTGTTCTATTTCTTCCTGAAGTGAAATTAAGATGCCCTCCCAATTAAAATCGGCATTCAATATCTTTCCTCTGCTTCGGCCACGTTACGGTTCTGTGCTCTCACTTTCTAGTGCCCTGATAATAAACATCCTTCGGAAATATGTCTGGAATGTAGATTTTTTTTGACCCTGAAAGAGACTCCAGACCAGGCAAGAACGCTTTCTCCTTCTTCCATTTAAAAACCAGGTAATGATTCACAGCGCTCTGCCCAGACAAAAGCCCAAGAGGGCTTTCCCTCTGCTCGGGAAGCAGCTGAACTCTCTAGGTCCACTTTCCCAACTGCCTTAGAGGACTGGGACCTACTGAGAGGGGGCTTAGCAGTGAACACTGAGGAAGAAAATAGTTGTGTCTAGTGGAGTGGAGAAAACATCTTGTAATTTCTTATAAGACCCTGAGTTTCTTCATTTGGCCTTTCTGTGATGTAAAGATCAGAGTTAATTTTTCTTTAGCTTTTTTTTTTTTTTTTTGGCCTGGCTGCTTATAAGATAGCTGACGGACTTCTGTTTTTAAAAACTAGTTTCACTCTTTCTAATTCCTGGGTCAGCATGTAGCTACGGTCTGACACAACGGACTGGAATGGTCTGTGGGGGTGGGGAAAAGAAAATTTATACTGATGAGTATCATATAAAAAGTACATGTAGGAGCAGTATTGAAGGTTGGAGAGGAATGAATTCTTCTTTCAGAGGCCTTCATTCTAGCACATATTACTAGGTAGATAGAAACCACTTCAGAGCCCCACTGCCACCTTCAACTTAATTTGCCTCTTTCCCTGCCCTCTCCATCTTTCCTCATTTTGTCCTCAGACCCAATTCCGCCTCTTTTATTCCCCCTCAACATAGCCCAAAGAGGCAAATGGTTCAGAAGAGTATATCGAGGGCTTTGTGTGGGAAGTATAATGCCATTCCAGTTCTCCTGTCTCCCCCTAAGCCCCTAATCCCAAACTCAGAATAAGAACTCTAAGATTTAAGGCAAAAGATAAAATCAAACCCAAAGGATGTTAAGAAATGTGCTAATAAAGCATATGCAGCAGCTTTCCAAGCAGCTAACCAAGGGACTGTTTGAAGTCCAAGGCCCACATTTATAATTAAGTACCGGCTGTCCATTGTTCAGAAGGTCCTCTTTGAAGCGAAGCTTCCTTTCAAGGTCTTGAATGACAGCATCCTTTGTGCCTTGAATCTCTTCATCAGAGGCTATCCTAGCAGTTCTGCCAGTCTTCTTTGGAAATCCCCTGCAGGACAAAGCATAATAGGATTCCTGAGGCAGGATAGTGTCTTATGGTGCCTATGAAATCTTTTAGTTCCAGTTCAAACAGAAAGATATACAGTCCAACAGTTTGTCACTCTCATTTTTTTTCTCTGCTATGTCTGCTGCAAACAATAATGGAAAGAATCACAAAAAAGGTATTGTTATAATTTGAGTAACCTGCTCTTGGAATGTCTGTGGGCTGAAAAGTTGATGTGTTTTTACAAAGACAACATATTTCACTAGAAATAAGTAAGAGCCAGGGACAACTAGGACTTTAGTTTTAGGTTTTAGTCCTGTTTCGGCCACTAAGGGCTATGATCATAATCAGGGATACTTTCATTTTGCATAAAATAAAACCCTGGGGTATTAGGTCCATTTCTTTCCCTAGTGTTAAATATTCCCTTAAAACCACATGCTTTTCCAGAGGCCCAGATTTCAAACCTCATGAGGTGATCTTGGGGCCACTTGGAATTCCAGGAGAAAATTGAATCCCTTTTCTCCACCCCTCCCCAAATTATCCTTGCTAGGGGGAGAGATAACATTCTGAAGCTATGGAAGTAAGAAGTCAATGGTGCTAGGTGTTTGCTATATAGGAATCTTTACTTTGTCTAGGCCTCAACCAAATTGCAGAACCCGTCTACCTGTCTACTGTGTCTTCATTTTCTCTACCTTGTCTTTCTTTCTTTATATTTTTTTTTTTAGGCAGTTGGGGTTAAGTGACTTGCCCAGGGTCACACAGCTAGTAAGTATCAAGTGTTTGGTTTGAGGCTGGATTTGGACTCAGGTCCTCCTAACTCCAGAGCCAATGCTCTATCCACTGTGCCACCTAGCTGCCCCTACCTTGTCTTTCTTCTGCTTGACTTGGGCTATAATGAGGATAAGAGAGAGTAAATGAATGAAGTCCATGGTACTTTGAAACAACCACAATTCAATGCTTTAGTTAAACAATAGACAGCCCTGGTAATAGAGAGACCTAGAAACTTGAGAGCATACCATCTACAGCACCTGGTTTTGTGAGCATGTACAACAAAATTCTGATGGAAGCCAGGTCAGAAGTATTAAAATCAGTATTAAAAAGCCATACTGGGGCAGTAGGTGGCGCAGTGGATAGAGCTCCAGCCTTGGAGTCAGGAGGACCTGAGTTCAAATTAGACACTTGACATTCACTAGCTGTGTAACCCTAGGCAAGTCACTTAACCCTGATTGTCTCACCAAAAAGAAAAAAAAAAAAAAAGCTGTACTGCAGAATATTACCATTTCACCTCCATGATAAAACAAAAAAGATCAATAAATTAAAATAAGAAGAATAATGTTAGGATTATGATGCAGGTTCTAAAATTCAACCTTCCTACTCATGCCACAATGTGCCCTTTTCCCAGATCAGTCCCTCTGGGTAAAATCAGTCCAAAAAAAATCATTCAAGGAACTGTGCTAAGCACTGACCATAAAAAGAAAGGCAAAAGACAATCCGTGCTGTTGAGGAGTCTAATGGAGGAGACAACATGTAAACAGCTACGTACAAACAAGATATATACAGGATAAATTGTAGATAATCAACAGAGTTTGGAAAGCCCTAGAATTAAGAGGGGTTGGGAAAGATTTCCTATAGAGGTGGGATTTTAGCAGAGACTCGAAGAAAGTCAGGTAAGCCAAGAGATATGGCTGCTCCCCACTTCCAATCTCTCTCCCAGGATGTTAGGAGCTACAGCTAGCTCTCTTTTGACTTTCTTTGAATTCTAGGTCTTAGTACTTAATAAAGATTCTTGTGGTGACAGAGGTTCATAGACTTTTCTTTGCTGAAAAGCAAAGGTGGACAGTTAAAGTTTTACAGTTAACATCCTTGTGAGAAGGAACAGGGAATTGATTTTTTATTTCAGTGACTCAAGCAATGAGTAATTTCAAATGTAGAAAACTCCAAAGGACCAAAGTTGTAAGGTAAACAGAGTTTTTAATTAGGGGGTTGGAAATAATGATCAGTAAGACCCTTCTTAGCTCTAAATCTAACTTCCTAGGATCTACATTCTCATCATTATTTACGAACCATTACATAACTATGAGAGAGAGTGAAATTGTTCTCATATCAGAACAATTCTAAAACTCTACACTTTACGCTGAGGACTATGTACTCTTCTCATGTAAAGAGGGAGAAAACAGATTATTTTCAAGAGAATAAACCTAAATTGTTAGCCAACATATGAGAGTATATCCCAAATCACCAATAAGAGAAATGCAAATTAAAACAATTCTGAGGTTTCGCTGTAACCCAATCAAACTGGCAAATACGACAAAAGATGAAAATTATAAATGATGAAGGAAACGTAGGAAGATTGGAATATCTTCCTACTGTTGTTGGAGATGTGAACTAGCCCAATCATTCTGGAAAACATTATAGAATCATAAGTGACTTAAGTATCACTACTAAGCACATAACTCAAGAATGTCAAACACATGAATAAATGTCTCATATATTGAAAAATATTTTTTGTGGAAGCAAAAAACCAGAAGCAAAGTGTTCATTCATCAATTGGGGGACGACTGAACAAATCTCAATGTATTAATGTAATAGAGTATTTTTTGTGTCAAAAGCAACAACTACAAAAAATTCAGACAAATTTAGGATTTGTATGAACTAATTCAGAGAGAAATGGGCAGAACCAAGAGAACAATTTTCACAATGGCCACACTAACGTAAAAGAAAATCGCACTTATAGGACAACAGAATTCTAATCAATGAAACTGTCAATTTTGATTCTAGAGGCTCGACAGTAAACAAACCTTCCTTTTCTCTGTAGTGAGGTGATGGACTACAGGAATACGGCATTTTCATTGGCAAATATGTAGCCTTGTTTTGCTTAACTATACACTCTTGTGGGGAAATAGCAAGGATTCTCTATGGCCAAAATTTAGCATAAATGTTGACAAATACTCATGATGAAAGCAAGAATCAAAAGACAGGTGGATGGGAATAAAATGACCTGGTCTTACAATCTTACATTTTTTTTCTGGTTTGACTTAATTTACATGCTAACCAGAAAATGTTTAACCTTACATTAGATAGTTGGATCTCTCAGACATAGAAAAGCCAAGACAATTTTAGCCAGGGAACACTCTGTCTGGTTTTTGTCATATTAATATGTTTGACTTGGGCTAAAAAAAATATTTGTCTTCCACGGCTAGCAGAATGAAGCTGAGATGGTCCACAGGTGACCCTGAACTGATAAAGCCTGGAATCTGGCAGCAAGGAGGAACACCTAGAAAACACTGTTGGCTGAGTTTAATATCAACCCAAGACTACAGGTAACCAGCAGAGCAGGATGTTGCTGAGTCTATGTGCCTAGCAATACCAGGAGATAAGCTGAGCAACATGCCCAATGGAAATGCTTCACCAAGCAGCAGCACAATGGTAATATCATGCGAAGACTTGGGTTATCTTCTAAGAGTTGTCCCTTCATATGTGTAAGCTGGCTACTTGTATAGTTTCTGTAACATATGTGAGCCCTGTTATATGTCCAATCTTTCAGTATGTATATCTGTGGTGAAATGTTCCATATTGCCTTTCCTTACTATGCTTTTTCATTTAATGCCTTTATTCTGATTTGTGTCCTCTGGCTAATTAAAGAAAAAGGACATATCATCGGGGGCTCATTATAATTCAGAGTAGAAGTGGTTTCAACTCTAAAATATGAATTGGTTATAGCTTTAAAAATTACACCATAGAGTTTCAACAAAATAAAACAAAATCACAATACATTTTGTATCCTCTTCTGAATCTGTGTACTTACAAAAATTTGTTGCTTTTATTTCAGCATGTATATTCAGGTATTTGATAAATTGCTTGTTGAATAGAAATGAACTGATTTATCTTCACTGAAAAATGTGAATTGTTTTAAGTATCTATCTTTTTTCCACACAATGGCCTGACCACTTTGAAATAAATGTCATTGTGAAAACACTTCCAAGTCCTTCTTCACCTTCATACAGAATACTTAGTTTTCTTGGATAGATAATTCTTGATTCATGATGTCACGCCTGCTTTTTAATTTTAAATACATTATATTTAATTTCTCCATTCATTCCTTGTCTCCTTGGAGAAATCTTCTATGATCTTGATTGATGATCCTTGGTCAAATTTATTTTCCCTCTTGCAGCTTGCAGGATTCCTTTCTTGTCACTATTTTTGGAGCTTAAGATTTTCCACATCAGAATTGTGTTAGTTATTTGTATTTTGTAACTTGCTTTGGATAATTTCAGAAAGGCTTCTTAAATAATTGCCTAGAATACAGTGCTGATATTTTATTTTTCCATTACAGTAAACCTGAGATTGATTCATTTTGACCTATCTTCCATATCAGTCACTTGAATTGTATTTGGTCAATGCTATCCAATTTTTTTGACAGTCATGGGTCTACCACTGGTTGCTTCTATTTTTTCAAAATGTTCATAATAGTCAGTAAGAATTATTTCTTCCTGATCTTTTTAAGCCTATTGTAACTGCAGCCTTAGATCTTTTCATGATTTAATTTTTTTAGCAAAATTTTTCTTATGATTTTCTTTATGTGTTAATTCTTACTTAATTTCTTTGTCATCTATCCATTTAAGATTATCTCTTGGGATATCTTACATTGTTTATTTCTCCATCTTTGTGACTTCTAGTACCTTAGTTGTCTTAATTACCCCTTAGTTTTGTTCTGTTTTTTAAATTTGTACTGGCACTCTGCTTTGCTAACTTTTTTAGCCATTATTTTTTCTCCCTTTTCTTTAACATAGTCTTCTTTTTTTTTTAAGAAAATGTGAGAAGTTTGGTTATCTTGTAATCTTTCACCATGTCATCTTAATTGGAAATCTATTTTTGGTTCTTAAACACAGGAGGATATTTCAATCCTTTGTGGATCTGTTATTTTATCAGGGTGGTAGGTACTCTACTAGGATAGACTGAAACTTCCTTTTGCCCTAGTTTACTTACTATCTTTGTGGTTTGCTGTG